AACAAACATTTATATAATGAAAATAATTCATTTCTATTTATTTCCCATTTTGCTTGTGCCTCAGTATATGATCCTGAGCAATACCTGCAATGGTGTTCTATCTTTTCTTTGTCATATTTATATTTTAATACTCCTCCGTAACTGTGGTCACTTGAATCTGTTTCAATTATATATGTGAACGTTCTATTTTCATCAGGAAAATATAATTTTGGTAATTTTTTGCATAATTTTTTAATATTTTTTATGTGTTCTTTATCTTTATTGTCAAAATGATATTCAATATCTTTTTTGAGTTTTTTGTATAATGGTTTTAAATGTTCTGCTAATTTTGGTATATATTCTCTTACTTGATTTACTAATCCTAAAAATGATTGTAATTTCTTTTTATATGAACAGATCAACGAAGTCTCGAATTCCTCATGGGACAGCATGCTATGGCAGAGCAGCAACAAAAATGGATCACCAGATTTGATTTTGATATTCAATATCGCCTAGGTTGTGAAAATAAAGCCGCTGATGCCTTATCCCACCATTTTTGTTTCATGTCTTTTTATGTTTTACACAACGCTTCCTTACATGATCTTTCCATAGAAATCTAACAAAATGATCAACTTCATCAATTGACACTAGATTTGCTTCAAGATAGAGCTTCACGGCCGAGTTATGTTCTAAAAAATGGCTGCCTAGTTTTCATAAGGTGATTTCCGGTTCTTCATTACACATTCCCATGTTTCTAAGGAAATTCCACTCCTCACCTACTGGTGCACACTCGGAATTTTTTCAGACATGGAAGCACATTTCTCAACTGTTGTATTGGACTGGAATCAAAATGGATGTACAGACTTTATGGCTAGTTGTGGAGTTTGCATGCAGAATAAGTATGAAACCCTTAGTCCCACTAGCTTGCTGCATCCATTACCTATTCCTACTCATGTTTGGAACGATATTTCTATGGATCTCATCAACAGGTTACCTATTCCTACTCAAGTTTGGAACGTTATTTCTATTGATTTCATCAGCAGGTTACCAAAAACAATGGGACATGACGCTATACTTGTTGTGGTAGACCATTTTACTAAATATAGTCATTTTCTCCTCTTATCTCTCATCCATATACAACAAAGAGTGTTCCTGCAATATTTGTTTGTGAGATTATATGTTTTTATCATGGTTTTTTCAAATCAATTCTGTCTAAATGAGATCGGTTTTTTGTCAGACAATTTTTGCAAGAATTGTTCAATTTGTCTATTACTAGCCTCAAATTGAGCTTAGCTATCACCCTCAATAGATGGTCAAACTGAGGTTTTCAATCGCTCCTTGGAGACTTATTTACGTTGTTTTGTAGGGGACATGCAAAAAAATGGCCAAGATGGATTCCTTGGGTTGAATTTAGCTGAAGGACTTACCAGACATTCAAAAGACTTTCAGAACACCTGGGAATCCTATGCAGTCATTGATACAAAGTTTCCTTAATTTGACCTTTTAGGACAAGGTGAAACTCGATGTGGCGGGTATTCTTATACCTACTATTAGTATGGTCTATAGCTGCAAGAATAAGGGTATAAATAAGGCCAAAATGTATCTTTTTATTTAATAGTTATTATGTGTATATATTCTAGTAGTTGCCTAGCAGGTAATAGAATTCAGTACTCTGGCAGATTTGGAGGTTAAGGTTCCGCGAAATACCTTTGTTGTTAGAACTATTCTCTATTATCTATTTCTAAGACTTATTATGTCTTTTGGTGTTAGTAAATTCGAGTTTAAGTGTTATTCTTACTTCTAAATTGCATTTGAAAGTTTAAAGATTTGTTGTTAGGAGAGTCTGAGTCCTAATAGATTCTCTTGTCCATGTGATAACTAGTATAAGTAAAAAGTTCTAAATTGAGCTGGTTGCGATAAAATCTCCCATATTATTGATATTATACATGTTACTGTAAATTAATTCATGAATTATTTGCAGAATGCTTGCCCCTTGATCTTTATACATGCCGAATAAAATTTACATCATTAAAATTTTTAGTATATAGGCTTGTTTTTCTTTGGCATCAACATTTACTAGTTTGAATATCAAGCCTTAGATCTGCAAATGATTAATAAGACTATCTTTCCATGGATATTAGCGTAAATATTGAACATTCTCATTGTTTGATATAAGCTACTCAAGCAGGTAGAAACTGACGGCGTATATAAACTAACTATTTTAACACCTATTCCCCAGCTCACACTATTTCATCCTTTTCATTTCTCATATCTGGGACTTAATCCTGTATCTAAAGTTCATGGACAAGAGCTTGCCATGGTCGCCAAGTTCTTGTTCTCTCTTTCAGCTAAAGCCACTTAAAAGAACAGATCTACAAAGAAAGAACAATGACAAAAATTTACTTGTACATTACTTCATTTAAAATTCTACACTTACCTCATTTATTGAGACTAGCTTCATTGAAAATTTCAGGCACATTTACAACATTCTTGCTTTCATCCACAACATGTAGGTTTTTCTATGTCTAAAGATAAACGGTTTTAAAATTAGGATTAAAAGTTCACCCCTTAATCAAAGAAGAGGAACTACTAGTACTCCACACAAAAGAAATAGGATCATTTGAGCCTAGTTCGAAAATAACAGACTATTTTGAGACTTCCTCCACAACAAATGATAATTTTGACTAGTATCTCAAAAAAAGAAGTTTATTATCTTAAACAAAAGATAACTTTGACTAATTAGTTATGTATTACACAAATAAACAATAGTATGAAGAACTCTGATCATAAACTTTTCTTCTGTCCTTTATTTTGGATAACTAATAGGAAAATAATAATCAGAATGTAGAGAAAGAGCAGGGCTAGGACTCTGACCTAGAGCACAAACAATACTTATTAGGGTTTGTCACCTAAAGATCAGTACAATGATTAAAGCATATAAAATTTCCTGTACACTTAGTAGTGGCTACAGAAAGCAAACTTTTCAACAACATAATGAAGTAATTCGGTTTATACAAAACATCCTGTCAGAAAATATTTTCCTATTAGAAATACAACACATGAGACTTGTTATGTTGTTGTATAAGCCTGTTGCATCATTTTTGTAAGAAAGAATTTGAACCCACCCTGCATAGGCTAACACTATTTGCCAACAGTATGTTGTATGTATTTTAACTTTCACTTATCTAATATTGCAGAAAGATTATCTTCAACAAACATTCTCAAAGATGTTGACCTTGGAGACAAGATATCAAAATCTTATTCAGCCAAATATTGCAAGTAGTTGTTGAATGAGGGTAGCAAGTGCAAACAACGAGAATGTTCATATTACATCAGAGATTACATATCGTGGCACTGTATATACATCAGAGATTACCGCAAGGCAATCCAGGCAGAAGGAGAATGATTCAACATGCACGACATTGCTTTACATTCCACATATCTAAAGGCTATATAAATTACCTTAGAAAAAATTTGGCTTTGCTTGTAGCTAATTTAGCTAGATGATCGGCCACTGTATTTGTTCTAAGTAGCAGGAGCAAAGCAAAAATCAGCATTTCTTATCAAATCATCAGTCTCGTCCACAATACACTTCAAATCGAGGTTTTGACAGGTTCTATTCTTCATCATCAACACTGGAGAATTGATTTTTTGCATTTGATACCCTCATTCAACAACTTGCAGGATTTGGCTGAATAAGATTTCGAGATCTTGTATCTAAGGTCAACATCTTTGAAGATATCTGTTCAAGATAATCTTGCTCCAATATTAGATAAGTGTTAGTTAAAATACATACAACATAGTGTTGTCAAACAGGGTTAGCCTATGCAGGGTGGGTTTAATTTTTTTTCTTACAAAACTGATGCAGCAGGCTTAAACAACAACATAGCAAAAGTAACCCCACAAGTGGGTCTGCGGAGGGTCGAGTGTACGCAGAGTCGCTGACCTTCACATGAAGTTAAACATCTCTCAACAGTAGTTTAAACAATAAAATAAATAAATTAAGTTCTTAATACTAAACTTCCTTAGGCATGCAAGTGCAAACTACAACATATCAAATCTAGGGTGGATAAAGTATGCACAGATCTTAAACCTACCTTGTGGCGGTTCCTTGGGTGTGGAAAGATATTTAAATTAGATCTAATAATTTTTATGTGGTGGTTAATTTTAAAAATTAGTGTTAAAACTAGAATTTGTGAATCTATGTTGGTTACTCAAATATGACATTATTTAATTTAATTCTATATAACTTAACTATTTCCATTTTTGTGTTGACAGTGAGTGCTTTTGGGGAATTATAATTTATATGATACTATACTATTTATGTGAGAAAAATATGTCAATACACAAAATTAACCCTGTTTTTTGGTCTTTTCATCACGTAAGAGGTATTTTACAGAAATAAATAATAAATTGATAAAATTTACTGATCTCATAGTTAAGATGAACTGATATATAGTATCACACTCTTCCATTTCCCTGCTATAAGAACATTCATGAGAGTAAATATAAGTGCATCTATTTTTTTTATGACAACAATGTCTTGGTAAAAGTGCTAAAATAGTGACTAATATGTTTGTTTAAAAGTGTGAAATTCAACATAAACATAATGTTACAGGCGGGAGATTGAAATCATTGCAGGTTTGTCCCGCAAGCACACTGTACTGCTCCGCTCGCCATCCCTAATACAATGCGTCTTGATGACGGAAAAGACGAATGCAAGTTTATAAAAGCAGAAATAACATCAATGAAGTGGAGAAGACGAATGCAAGTTTATAAAAGCAGAAATAACATCAATGAAGTGGAGAATAAATTGCATCATTCATGTTGAAGAATCCCACATCGGATAAAGAGGGATGGGTGGTTTTAAAGAGAACAAATGCATCAAGAGTCCCACATCAGATGAAAAAGAGACGGATGGCTTCCTTATAAGGTCTTGGAAATTACCCCCGCCCTCATGAGGTAACTTTACAATATGAACAAATAGAAACAAGTTTAGACTATATACCTGACTTTTAGCAGCATAATATATCTTTTCTTCAAACGTCACAACAATTTCCTTTAAGCTCATGTACTCTTTCTCGCCGAGAGACAGAACATGCCTCTTTAAGGTCTCCATTCTATACAACCATATCTCGATAAATACTACTCAAATATATTAAAAATAACTCGATATGCCTCTGCTATAAACGACTAAATCGTGTTTCCTCTAAACAAATATTAGTAGTTATAATGCAATTAGCTCCAGCAACAACCTGACATTTCCACGTATCAAGAACAAAGTCTTGATAAGATCACAATCAAGATAAATGCTTCTCAAATATATTAAAAATAATTCGACATAACAGTTACCCTGCTCCAAAAGACAAATTTATTTCCTGTAAGCAAATATCAGTAGTTATAATCCAATTATATCGAACACAAACCTACTATTTCGACATATCTAAAGCAAAGCATAAAGCACTGTGAGTAAAACTCCCACTTAAACTAGCCTGTAGACTGATAACACCACAACACCCTTATCCTCACTCCAAACAACAACAACATACATAGTATAATCCCAAAAATATAATTTCAGGAATGGAGTCAGAGTGTACACATATGTTACCCCTTGACTGATTACCAAAATTGGAAAGGCATAAACTTCCATTTAACTCACTCGGTACCAGTAACAAAAAAACCCCAAAATTCACCTGATAAACTAATTTCCAATAAAATAGAAAGAATGTGAAAAAACATGTATGAGATTGATTAATCAATACTTGAGAAAACGAAGAAACACACACACCAAAAAGAAAACCTAAAATTCAAAATTCCAAAATCCTTTTAAAAATTAAAGAACAAGTCACAAAAACAAATATATAAAAAACTTACATAATGTTGCCAATCCTTTGACGCAAATCACGCAAAAGTTTAGTCTTCCAATCACCGGAATCCATAGCCCCGGCAACTACTTTGCTACCTTCACCACCTCCTGAACCTCAACATCCCTCCAATTATTCCAATTCCTATCAATTCCAGACGAAAATTCCTTAATCCATAATCGAAAATCACAATTTTTTGCTTCAATATTTCACTGACTAAAGGTTTCTCGGTTTCAACGTTGTCAAATTTCTCAAAACTCATTCTGAGTGTATATAAGTACAACTATCAAAATGGGTTTTGTCCACTATATAAGCCTGCCCAACCTAACCCCTAAATTAAGTGGGGTTGAGCCTATTTTGTTGGCTCATTTAAGAATAAGATTTTTCAGCTCTGTCTTATTTGGCCCACTAGCCTCATAGATCCAACCCACAAGTCTTAGAGGTCAGTTCGTGGTTTATGAATATTTTAAAATACTTTATACATATATGTATTTTAGTAGTGTTTTATTTGTAAAGTTTATATCAATAAATTTTCTTAAAAATAAAAAATCAAGTCGTTCACACTAGCCTATTTTTTTGTGGGATAAATGGTGGCATTATCAATATTTTTCCGCTAAATCTTACGTTGACTATTATGTATTTTGTAAGAATTCACCAAAGTGGTGATTCATAAATATATTTTTGTAAGTATTCATCGAAGTATGTTATTCACAAATAAAAATATGTATGTATTGATGCAGTGTTCATAGACATCAACGTTTGATACTCTTAGATGCTCTTTCTAAGAGATAAATATTGTTCATTTTTTTGTTGAAGGGTCAATCTGTCCCAACCCGTGGCCTGCTTAAATTTGGGTTGGACTTCTACTTTATATACCCTTTAATTAAGTGTGTCCTAACCCATTTAACTCTCTAGCCTGTTAGGATTGAGTTGAGTTGGGTAAGCCTATTTTGATAACTCTATATATAAGGAACCAAACTCCCAAACTATGAGAAAAGCCATGAATGGTTCTCAGCTGTCGTAGTATGTCTAGAATAGTCTTTAATTATATGTTTATCCTATTAAGTATTTTAATTATTTTAAATATTATCAAATTTAGTCTTACTATAATCTTTTAGTTCCTTTAAATATTCAAAATATTATATTTTGTCTCTGTCCACTGTTTTATATAAATAACTTGTGTTTATATTAATAGTACTCATGTATTCCATGAAATTAAATTCTTAACTCATTATTCTAGTTATTCCTCTCTCCGCACTATTTTTCTAAAATTAATCTTATGAAAAACACCTTAATCTTAATGATATAAAATAAAACTAACGACAAAATAAGATCAAGTCTTTATTTTATTTAATTGAGGATAAAATGAAGCATATTATTGTTGCTTATGAGTGGAGTTGTTATGTTCCCTTCTTTTGCTGTTAACAATTCATAATTAGTGTGATTTTTTTAAATTTTATTTTTCATACCAAAAAAATGAAACTTATTCTTACTACTCAAACTTCTTACATAAAATATAACGAAGAGAAAAAAAGTTTGATCTATTTCAAAATTTTAAAAATCTAAAAAAAAGTGCAAATATACCATTTTCTAGTTCTAAGAACTTAAACAAATCATATTCAAAAAAGTCATGGGAGTAAAAATTTTGAAATCAAAACATGTCAGTAAAGAGCTTTTAGTTTCATTCTCATTGCAAGAAAAAAATTATTTCTATTAAATATAAAAAAATTGCTCCTCACACTTAAAGGGGCAATAAATTTTTCGTTTTTTAATAAGTTGACTCGGTCTTCTTATTCATGTAGTTAACGTTTCCCTTCGGTAAGCATTCCTCGGGAGAAGAAGGGAGATCCAAGTCAGCATCGGCAAAGATCTCTTGATTCCTTGCGGCCGGTCCGACTTGGAAGCAAGCTACCTCTTCCCTAGCATATTCAAGTTATTAACAACAATAATATATTTTATTTTACATAAATTGAATAAAATTAAGATTTATATCTTCTTTCCTCATTATTTTGATTTTTTGAGGTTAAGTTTATTTATATAAGGGTAATTTCAAGAAAAAGTATTAGAAAGATACAAACAACTGAAAAATAGGTTAAAATTTTAATTTCACGGAGGTATGAGTTTCTTAAATGTAAACCTAAGTTATTTGCATAAAATAAATCGATAGAGATCAAAACCTAATAATTTTTTTGAATACTTTAAGGACTAAAATCAGTAAGTGTATAATTAAGGGACTAAAATTTTAGGTGTATAATGAAAGAACGAACTTTATAATTATATCTGATAATAGCTTGAGTAAATTGTATGTACTGGTACAAAATGAATGAATAGTAGTACTAACTGAAATATTAGAGTCATTAGTTTTATTTGCTATATAATGCCTTATTGACCCAATAAAAAGAGTTCCAGGTTCTTGGATTTTTTCTAATGCAAATAAAGGGGAAATTATGTATTCGACCAAAAAAATGATTTGGTAAAATTCATTGTCAATCCTTATTAGCTCGTTGGCCACTCTGTTTTTATCCATGAAATTATCCTTAGTTTGTGGGTTCCTCGTTGATAGAGAAATTATCCTCAGTTTGGGGGTTCCTCGTTGATAGAGAAACTTCCGGCAATCATGAATTAAATTGTAATAAACAGAGTAATAATTGTATATGTAATTCCTTTCACTAATGAGTAAGCAATGACCTAATATTCAAATTTTATGGAAATATTTTGTACGGTAGAATAAAAATAAAATATACATATATATAACGGATTTCACAATTAATTTAATAGAAAAACATGCAATTCAATTTTCATATTACTTGTCTCCAAGAAGACATTTTGATACAATTTCTCATTGTAAATTCTTATTATCAATTTCTCATTGTAATTCGTCGCAATAACATCAGTATACTAAGCAATAACCCGGTACTTAAATTTGATACAAATCTTTGATGATGTAGAATGGAAATAAATTTAACGGTTCATGGTTATTTTAATAGAGAATCTTGTAGTTGAATTTTCATAATAATTGTCTATGAAAAATATTTTGATGAAATTCCTCATTGGCATACCTTATTAGTAGGTCGATACTTTATTTTTTTCCATAAGATTATTTTTAATTTTGGGATCCCCGTCGATAGAAAAATTTCCTGCATTTATTAAGTAAATTGCAATGAATTAAGTGATCTCTATGTATGTAATTCGTTGTAATAACGAAATCAATATACATAAGTAGAGGAAAATATTATTTTAGAGAGATTATTAATTTACCGAATATTAATTCATAGAGGTTTTATTGTATTTAACTTTGATGCAAATCTTCAATAATGTAGAGTAACTAATTTGAATCCACCCCATGACATGTTTAAATAACAAATCAAGTTACGTCATCATCTAGATCCTGTCCTCAACACGCTCTTGGTTCTTTTCCATTTGTTCCTTGCTCATACCTAAAAGTAGAGAAGACACTTGGTCCTCCCTATTATGTCATGCTCGAGTAATTATTGTCATGTGATCAAGCTACACTGTTACCACATCAAATGGTTGTAGCATTAACCCTCCTTAAATGAATTTGTCAACTAATCATGTGTTCATTTTATCAAGGCTGCGATAGAGATATTGCAAGAACTAGTTATCTAAGACATCATGTGTCAAACATTGCAACAATAACTTTCCAAATCGCAATGAAGTTTTAAGATAGGGTGACCATCCATTCTCTTGAAATTTTGGATGCTATCTCTAAGTTTCACCATCATCAAAAGAGGGAAAAATCTTTAAAGAAACACATATGTTAGTTTTTACCACGAATCTATTGAATTTTATGGTAGTCCAGTCAACCACTTGTTGCTTATCCCGTAAAGTAAAAGGAAACCAACCTCAAACAAATGGATTCTTGAGAAATATTCTTGAAGGAAAAGGTCCAAAAGCATCCACAAAGTTTCTAAGATGTTCATGGGGTATTCATGAGCAAGACCTCCTAATATCCCTAGCATTTGGATCGATTGCAATATCATTTTTGTTACATGAAACATAGCACCTTCAATAATAAGAGGTACCCGGATTGCTCATGTACTATCGACGATATTAACATGCATGTCGTCCTATATCCAATGTTATTGTTTTTCCCATAGTGGCTAGCATCGTCATTTCCATTTATATTCATATTTCCACCTGCAAATGGGACACAACAACAACACCAAATAAATATGTAAACTACTACCAACAAATAAGTTTAAAAATTAACTTCAAAAATTGAATTCACAGCTACCACTCGCGCCACCATATTTTATAATGCTCAAATTACTCACAAAAGAACAATTGACTGAGTCACAAATCGTCAGCAATATAAATACCCAACAATAGAGTCGGAATCGAAATTCACAGGAAGTGATCTAAAAAGTTAGAATTCAATGAGGAAATAAAAAAATGCAAATTAATTCACCGATTGGGTCAACCTTTCACATTGGTAAATCACTGATGATCACCTTGATCTCCAATTTTAGCCTTTAATTATGTCTAGTCTTTTGTCACTTTAGGCGGTAGATTTTACTTTACCCAATTGTTTCCGTGAATTGCCATTTGTGCGTTACTTTGCTAACGTGCGTTAAATATTATTGTTACAACTCGAAAACCTAGTAGGTGAAACTAGAGCTTGACGAGTGTGTTGTTGAGTTTGATATGGGGTTTTATGTTGTAAAATGAGTTCCTGAGGTTAGTTTGAGGGGTTAAATTTCAAGGTACGACTCCCCAAGGATCAAATAATGGTCCTTCGGAGGACCCTAAAGTCTAACCCCAAGGATAAAAAAGTTATCAAAATTAGAGGCCCTATGAATGGGACCTACACCTAGTAGGTCCATCCACGCCGCGTAGGGCTTGGTCGTAGGTCAATATCTCTTGATGAGGAGTCTCTGAAACAAACCAAGAGTTGCAAGTTGGCTCATGGACCCACCCACAGTCTGTGGGTGGGCTTTCGTGAGTACTGTGAGTTTGTCCAATCTCGGCCAAGTGAGGGACTAAGTGGTAAATTGTTGGAAGTTGGTGAGATTTTTCTCACATAACCTTCCATGGGACCCTATACGTGTTTCATCGTTGAATTAGTTTGACCATCAAGCGATTGTGATTGCTGAAGATGAACAGAAGACTGAGGAAGTTTCTCCTACGATGGAGATGTAGGGTTTTTTTTGTATGATTAGGACTAATAAAGAAATTTATGTTCTTCTAAACAGAAAGCATTTTCTCCTTGTAAGTAAGTTCTATTAATTGATTGTTAAGCCACAAGAAACACTGAATGTGTTCAATGTTATCTTGGACATGTTGAGCTTTACAATTTGCTCATTTGTAAGATGATGATAAAGATAGTCATGCTTAAAATTATAAACAAAAATCAGTTATTTCATGCACTTTGAAAACTTTTCTTTGTCATGGGAGGTACTTGAA